GACAAACAAAACGTTTTATATTTGCTCCTGGAAAAAACAGAAAGCATTTGGAGGGTATTGAGTAGAGGGCTAACACAATTGGACTTGCATTTTAGGAAAATCACTTTAGTGGATGAAAGGAGAATGGATTGGACAGGAGAGAGACTTGAAGCAGGTAGAACCAGAGTATTGCAGTAATTCAAGGTATGGCCTCAGGCATTTATTGCTATGTGACCCTGGGCAAGTCACTCAACCTCTGACTTCAACTCAGTTTCCTCATCTGTAAAATGGGGATAATACTAGCACCTACCCTCTGGGGTTGTTGTGAGAATTAAATGAGATATTTGTAAAGCATTTTGTAAACTATATAAATACTAGCTATTGTTATTTTTATTATTTTCCTCCCAAGTCCCAAAGTAATCTTTATTAAGAAGACATGGAGGGCTTTCAGATGAATTTAATAGAATCATAAATACTGAGTAAGAAAGGAATCATAGACTCCTATATGTAGAGCTGTAATAGAGGTCAAATAGTTCAACTCCTTTTTTTTATAAATAAAAAAAGAGGCCAAGACAGGTGAAGTTATTTGCCAATGATCATATTAGTAGTAACTGTGGCCTCAGAACTGGTACCAAAACCCTCTAACTCCAAATCAAGCAGCTTTCTCAGTACACCATTTTGCCATTTTTTTTTTGCTGCCTTCTCCTCCTCCACCAATGGACAAGCATTTGTTAAGCACTTACTTACGTGTCAGACATTGGCAATCCAATGAAAGGTAAAAACCGAGGACCTTTGTCCCCAAGGAGCTCAAATTGTAATGGAGTAAACAACATGTAAATAACTAGGCAGATACAAGATATGTACAGAGAAAATAGAAGATAACTCCAGAGGAGAAGGAACTAGCAACTGAAGGGTCCAGGAAAGAGGGATCTGAGCTGAGTCTTGAAGGAAGCCAGGGAAGCCAAAAGGGGGAACTGAAGAGAGAGCATTTCAAAAATGAAAGAATGGTGATGGGAGGTGGATTGTCACGTACAAGAAACATCAAGTGGCTCAGTGCAGCTAGATCTTTATAATTTAAGTCCCCTGTGATTCCCCAAAATTCTGAGAGGAAATTTTTTTCTATATTTTAATCTCAAAAGTAGCAAATGAGTTAATGTTGAATCAACTTCACTAAATCCAAGTTCAAAGCCTCCTGTTAGTACATTTTGGAATTGGTCTCTTCCATTACACATTATTTTGATAGGCCCTCCCACCATTTCCGGAGACTTCTCACATGAACTTTGGAATTCCATTTTTAATGGTGACCAAGCAGTATAACCTTTAAAAATATTAGTCAGTGATAAGAATTCATCTATGTTATGATGTTATTTGTTGTGGAAATAAGCAATTTAGTAATACCAGGCTGTAGAAACTAAATTTTGATGGAAATATGATGAAAAAACTCCAAATGAGGTTTTGCTTCAAACAAATGTCTAACTGGGAAAGAGATGATTTTTAGTAGTTTTTTTTTCCTTAGTCATGAAAAAATGTCTCTAATCTATCAAAAAAAAAATTGGGAAAATCACTTTCAGGAAAGCAATAACAACTCAAGTTTTCAAGTACTGCTAAGTATACAAAAGCTTCTCCGGAGACCCCCAGCCTCCACCTAAATCATAGTTAATGGGAGTCATATTATTTTTCCAAGAATTCACCTGTTATGGATTCTTAGCATTGCTTAACTTTCAGGAAATGAGGCATGGTATTATGAAAAGAACAAGCCAAGATCTGCCTACCGGACATATGGTTTCCAATGAAAATATATCTGTTTTTTTAAAGATTCCATTATATAAAGCTGTAGTTATTTTTGGTGTCATAGTTAATTTCCTAAAATCAAGTATAACCCACCTTTTTAAGCTCTGCCAAAAGACTTAGACCCAAAAGAAAAGGAGATTGTGGTAGGGGAAGGGTTGTCTTCTGAGTAACACTCTTACTAGCATTCTCTAAACTCTGAAGGATTCTCAGAATTGATATGAGGGCAAACTACGGTGTCACTAATCCTAACCTTGAAAAGGGGTGCTTATGGTTAGGAAATACAAAGAAGGAAGCAAGAAAAAAAGGAACAGAAGTCACAGAAAGTGAATGGAAAATTGTAAACAACATTTACAGGGAGTCCTGAGTCAGCATGGTGAGGACCATGTAAGCACAATGTTTGGAGTAAATCTCCAGTACTGTCTGGAGAACAAGACTGGTGACCTTCTATTCTCCTCTTCTTTTCCTCTTTTAGTAGAGGGAGGCTATGTGGCCAGACAGGTGGCACAGTGGGAAGAGCACTAGCCATGGAGTCAGGAAAACATGAGTTCAAATACGGCTTCACATACTTCCTAGCTGCTTGACCCTGGACAAGTCACTTAATCCTGCTTGCCTTAGTTCCTCATCCGTAAAATGAGCTGGAGAAGGAAATGGCAAACCCCAAAAGGGATCATGGGCAGTTGGGCACAACTGAAACGACTGAACAACAACAACAGCTGTATGATACATTATCTACTAACTTTTAATCTGCTGCTTCTCTCAAAGAATCAGAAGCGGGGAGGGAGAGCATTCCAGATATGGAATCAGGGTACGGGGGGACCCCCAGTGAAAAGGCATAGATTTGAAGATAAAGTATCACGTTCAAGGAACTGTAAGGAATTCAGTGTTACTGACTGGTGGTGTGTACTGAAGGGACTGAAGTACAAGAACACTGAAAGTGTAGGGAGAGGCCAGGCTGT